TATTATTATTATTATTATTATTATTATTATTATTATTATTATTATTATTATTATTATACAATTGACAACTCCCCTTATGTCACGTTTCCCTTATCAAATTTTTCTATGAGCATAACACCAACCTCTCCATTCCAAAATGACAAAGAAATTCATTTTTTTAACATTTATTTTATTTGACAAATTTTTGTTGGCAATAGTATTTATATTTTTTTTGGTTTATTTTTGTATTAAATCATAGAAATAACAATATTTTTTATAAGATATTTCTATAGAAGTCCTAAGAAACTACAATAACGAATCTAAGAACTTGAAAAGATNACAACACTACTAGCAATACCCTGAACACACACATGCACACACTTCAATTAGCATTCAGCTATAAGGTCAAACAAAACTTGAGCAAGACTAATACAAATTGTTTTCTGTTTCTGCAAACAATGTAGAAGTCCTCATTTTGACTTTTTTTTCCTTAAGCACCCAAAAAAAGAGCGAAAATAGAACAAAAGAGACAGCCTTAAATATCCCAATGACCCATAGTTACTTGTCCTTCCAATAGTATCAATATATCTCTCTATTTTACTTCTTACCCACAATGTCTATACCAGATATATAATAGCATCCTCAGAACCTGAGACGCTTTCACCAGAGACTGCTGTGTTTTTCATGTCCTCAGAAGAATCCTTGGTCAGAGTCGGCAATTCCAGCCAAAAGCTTTCTAACTGGTCAGGAGTAAACCAGTCTTTCTTCATCTACAAAGCAGAAAGAATTATGAGGATTAGAGGATTTCTTGATATGAAGATGATAGATATAGTTTGACAAAGGACTCACAAAGTAAGGGTAGCCTTCAGATATGCTAAAGTTTTCCGGAGCGCTCTCTAGGAAAAGGCTAATGTAGTACAAAGCAAATTTACCGCAGTCCGTACCATTTGTCTGCTGCGGTACCTGAAAATTTTCAAGTCATGCTAAATGAGAGACCATTAGTAAGTAACATCAGAAACATGAGTGAAAAGTATTGTGACCTTAGGAATCAATAACTTGATTTTCCTAATCAGCTGCTGGCTCTCTGGCCTCTCTTCATTTTTGAAAATGTCCAAAACAAATCTACAAATCAAACAAAACAAAGCATACAAGTAAATTAACTAGAAAAACAAAAATTCCTAAGGTAGTATGTTCATCGAGGAAAATACTTTCTTATCTCAGGTTCATATCGCGAGGGTCCCGCCATATGCAGTGAATCCAGTAACAACATACAGGGAGTTTTGGATTCTGACTCTAAACTTTCGCCGAAATGGCAAAAGATCAAAAGACACCAATGATCCCTGATAAATAACATCTCAGTATACAAAGCAAAACCAAAAAATATTATATGCAACTTTGGCATAACCAGATAACAAATCAGAAACACATACCAGAGAACGATGGGAACAAAAACATATTTTTTCGAGAATATGTCTAGCCCCTTAATCCACCTCAACACCTTAGGCTTGAATAGTTTGGTTGTGTATAAATAAAACCACATGGACTCAAGGTATGCAAATGAACTTTTCTTATCCTCTGGTAGTTCCCTCCATATGTTCCTACATAATCCCAAGAAGTTATGCTCAAAACAGAAACTGGCAAACATAAATATACTTGCATAATTTAGCACACAGAACCCACAAACTTACTCCAGGTAGCAGTCAAAGTCGACCGAGTTTAACTTTCCATCTGATTTGCCATTCTTTCTATTTGACAGTCCACGGAGGCGAGCAGAACGGCGTAGCAGAACAGCTGAATCAGGTGCAGCAGCTATTTTTTTACTTTTTCTTTTTCGACATGTGCGTGGGTGTTCCTTTGGGCGAGACTGACTTGGAAGTTCCTCATCAGTTCCTTTTTTACCAGAGCCTGTCGTGACACAATTTACCATTCCGACAATAAGCATTTTTGATTGTCTGGTGAATCTAATAAGAGTTAATAATTTTCAAAGCAGGAAGATTTGTCTGCTAATAGCACCACAAGAATCAAAACAGAGTTGTAACTAGAATTAATTGCACCCTTATTTATTGCTTTTGAGGAGAGCCAGGATGTGAAGCACTGGTTCTTCTCAACCACCAAATCCAAATAAAGTACAACGAAATGGTGCATGGGAAAAGGAATCATTTAAATAGCAAGCCCTTAGGAGAAGAGAACCAAACAGTTAATTGGACATTGTTTCACCTTTCAACCATTGGGTTGATTACAATTGATTCATCACCCACCAATGACTTTAGTGATGTAATTTACAGTTGTAATTATACAAACTAATAAAAAACAAACCAACATCAGAATTATGTATTCTGAACAACAGCTCATTAGCAACTATGACATAACAAGTTCAGGAAAAAGTTTATACCACTAGGCTTCGCGTAAATCAAATTACTTAAACAGTAGCCCAAGCAGCAATTTTGTGTGAGTCAAATTATCAGTCTATAAAAGCAGATGTAAAAGAAAGAAAATAACAATAATTGGGGAAGTAAAAGACAGAAGGACAAGTATAAACCATTTCTACTTCTTTTAGCCATCGATCCTGAACTTAAGGATAAAACGATATAGAAGTAGGACTTCAAAAACACTGATGTTTCCTTTTTGTTTCTCTAACAGAAATGGAAGTAAAATCCGGGAGAAATGCTTCAAGTTCTCTAAAAAATTATTGCTGAATCTTCCAGTGATTGGGAAAAGAGCTAAAAGACAGATAACGAAAATGATTCTTGCGATAATTTTTCTTTTCTGGATCAGGAAAGAAAAGTAAAGAAGTTGTCCTGTGATTGCCAACCTAGGATTTAATGATAGAACTTTACAAAGGAGAGAATGCAGAAAGGGTATAAAAGAAGGCAATACACAGGAGAGGGGTGTGTGTGTCCGCACCCCCAAAAGAGAGAGGTGCAAATGAAGGAGATATGGAGGCGCTGAAACAAAATGATGATTAGGGCAAACAAATGCATTTAAGTGGAACATAGAAATGGTCATTAACATAGACCAGATTCTTGCGATATGACTGGAGACGTAATCTATGTAAGGTTATAGTAGTCTGGATTGCCTTCTAAGGCAATTTGCTAAAGCGTAGGCCAAGCACTACTGTTCCATTGGCTGAAAAATATAATCCGGATACGACCTGCCAAAAACCTTTAATAAATGCATATCTAACACAAAAGAAATTAATGAGACATATTGTCCCCTTTATATAGAAGTGAAAATAAATAACAGGAAACGAAAATGTTCTTAGTCCTGATAAGTTCGACAAAATACTTAAAAAACTGTTGAGTGGTAGTTTCGAAGGTAAAGTCCAATAAAAGAAAGTAAGATCTGCATAGTTTGCAAAGTTTTACCATGAGATATATGAATTAGTTTTTCTTAGAGTTCTTTTTACTTTTTCTTTACAAAATAAATAAACAAGAAAAGTAAGTTAACCAAAAAGTCCAAAGGAGTCCAAGATTTCCACAATTACAGAAAGAAAGGGAGCACAAAGTGTGATTAAGTAATAGGACTCCGAACACTTTGTATGGCAAGTAAAGACAAGCTGTAACACCAAAGGATGCAAATATGGTCATTTTGCTCATTAACAGATATTGGGAAATTCTTGCATTCACCTAACCAGATGCACATCAAACAAGTGGTAAGCTGCATCAAGATTGACTCCTCTTGATCTATTGGAAACACAAAGGCCTCTTGGGTGCTACTAGGAAACCCCTAGCAATTGCCTACACCATCAAAATCTAAAATACAGCCATTTAACATTTGAACAGATCAATGCAAGGATTAACTGCATCAAAAGCTGAACTAACAAGAATTCAACTTTATACCTTTAACTATATTGCGGCAGTTCACCTGTGATTCCTTGCCTTGGCAAGACCACAACAAGGTAGGTGCTCTCTTGAATCCCATCAATAGTCTTTACCCAGCACCAACCTTGCTACTTGTAACACAAGTCAAACTAGAGACGCCTAATACAGACTTTTAAGATAGGTTCTTTTGACTACAACAAAATTTTAGGCCCTTGGTCTTCCCTGTACAGAAATGTCCTACTGTTCTATAGTAACTTGGCCCCTCCAGCCTTAGCCATCTTGCAACTACTGTCTTGGCCTCCTACATATACAAACATTAAGTATTCCATGAACCAAAGACCATCGGAGGATACTTAAGTATTCCAAATAAAAAGCCAAAGGGAAGTATTCAAGGAACAAAAAGCAATAAGGATATTTCTTCAAGGAGAATCCAATGGAAATCTCGTTAAATAATAAATAGAACTACAAATCAAATCCTTCATTTACATAATAACTAGCATGATAGTGAATATAAAATAACTTATACCATGACAAATGGGATCCAACTAAAACCATACTTTTTTGTTGGGCCACTGCAGGGTCTTTTTCAACTTAAGCAGTAAACACTAAAGAAATGTTTGGACTGAATTATCAAAATGTTTATGATTATTTAGTAAGCTAAAAAATAATCAGTTTTATTGATGCAATAGTCAGTACTCCTAGTTAGCTCTAAAAACTGATTTTTTACAATAGCCTGATTCAGATTAAAGAAAATAGTTTAATTAGCAAATCAGGGATAATTATCCAAACCAAACAGGGCCCTAGTAAACAAAGATTTGACTTAGAAAATGAATTCATTAAGGTTGAACATGAACCAAAATTGAAAAGAGATAGATATAATTCTAAAGTGCTCCGGGAAAGTCGGAAGAAATATGTGTTTGAGACTGTTGTGACAGTATTAAAGATAGGTATAACAATGAGCTCGTGCACTAAAAAGATGACCGAAAGAGGGAGCAGAAGATAGGACTATAAATAGGAAAGGAAAATCAAGTATTTAGGAGTAGATGGAGCTAAAATAAGGCATATCTATCCTTTTACAATGGAAATTGGTAGCAAATCAAGTGGCAAACTAGAAAGTCTAAAACAATCATACCAACCAAAGAAAACATATAACTAAAAAATTCCAGCATGTTATTTATAGCTCTCAAACTGCTGTCAGTAAAAATAAAGATAAAATTGTTGTCTAACCCTTGATCACTAAGTTGGTAGGTAATATGTTGTTTGATGGTTGTTTTCACTTTTCAGTGCCTCAAATTGGACTTATAATGACATTAGCCTTTAGATATTTGAAAACATAAAATTAGAATAGAAAATACTGCAGCGGCAAACGAGCTCGTTTATCAGTGAACAATAATAAAAACCCATGACTAAAACATAAGGATTAGCAAGTGCAGTGTTGTTAACTGCTTGCTTGAAGCAAATCAGCTGCAGCCAGGCTGGAAACACTAAGACAGTAAGGAGCGAGACTCATTTCCCAGGAGCTCTGTCTTAAAGAGGGTAACATATATAATATGTATGGTTAGCAAAGTGATATATTCATTGTTAATGAAAAAATGTTATGAATGAATATGTTAGTGACTAGAAATAGGAAACTAGAATTAAGAAAGAAAAAAACTAGTACCTTAATCTGGATTAGAAATTTAAAGTTTAAACATGCACCTTTGCATATACTTTACAAATATTAAAATAGTTATTGATCTTGACTGACATGATTTGACTTCATATATTTCAATTAATTGTACTTTCTTTANCTCCGGTGGAGACCAAGCCGTTTAAGTGCCTTGTATATTTTTCTTTGTTTTTGTACTTTTTTTTTCAAGGTTGTTTGGCCTTTATAAAGACCTTTTCATATATATATATATATATATATATATATATATATATATATATATATATATATGTGTTTTCTTCATTTGTGCCTATCTTCTTTAAGAAAAACACTCTTAAATTGAGCTTTACGTTTGAGGCCCTAACAGATTTTGGTGCTTTTCGCCTCTGAGTCAACACTAAACAAATATATGTTTTATTGTCCCTAGAGGCCATCTAAAAGAATCCGTCTTCCTTTCCAAACAGTTGACTTATTCCAAAGTCGAAGCTTTGTCATCTCCTCTCACCATTGTTTCTTCACAATGCACTTCCATTATTAAGTTGATATTACCACCTGATTTTCCAATGGTGAGGAATAGCAAATTATATCTACCTGTTAATACAAGACTATCACTTTTCCACCATTTCCTCGATTGTAGTCCATAACAAACATTCGGACGATCAACAGTTTATCAGCCATCATTAACTAACTTTCTAGCCAGATGGGCTTTCCTTGTCACTGAATCCATGGTATATTATGTTGATCATATATGGAGGTGGACTGGTGGTAATCAAAAGCCACCAGCTTAGAGGATGCTTCCACCAAAATGTAAAAAGTAACAAAATTTTATAAATCAGAAATGGCATGCCTTGAATGACAACAATCTTGATAAGCATCTCCTTTGGAAAAGGAATGGATACTGTTTGATTTAGGAGAGTTTAGGTGGTACTAGAAAGATATGGAAATTAAAATGGTAGATAATTAACAGATAAACTGTTGCCATTGTGCAAAATACTGGCCCACTTTAAGAAGGTGCGAGTACAAAAAACAATGAAACACGTTATACTAGTATTAAATGGATTCATAAGATATATCATACTGGCATTACAGTCATACCACAACCAAAGGAAAATTCTGCATGTCTAATTTTGAAAACTCTAGTGCCTTAGAGTTGCTTACCAGTATCTGAATTTCTACCTATTGATCTTCCGCAACCAGGAATATATTTATAAGATTGTGGCTTAGCTTGACGCTACTTGTTTGATCAGTTATGGAGCGTAGTTTGGAGCTCTTGTTTCCTCAATAAGCTTGACAGTTTCCTGCATTTGATTCGCAACTGAGTCTATGACAGCTGCAGCCTGCAAAAGCAATAAACAACCCCTAATTCTATGGTAACTTGGAAAGTCAAGAGAATCACAAAATATATTTAAGAATCTCAACAGTTAATGAACTTTACTTATTTCAAGTTACTCAAAACTCTTATACTATGAACCCTCTTGCACGTTTTAACCACCAACTTAACAAGCATTTTTCTCTCTTTTATATTTTTATATGGTATTAAAGCCTCACCGGTCGTGGTAGATGGTATAGACACCAATCAAAAAAAGATTTTTTTCTCTCTTTTATCTTCGTCCATGGTAGTTAAAGCCTCAATGCTCTTGGTAGTTGCTAAAGACTTCAGCAAAATCCTTCCCATAAGCCTGTGGCCTTATGCCACTTTCTCTGCGAAAATCCTTTTTCTTTTTCATTATTTTATTCTTTGTGTCTCTTCTAGTGATCATTTTGGCGGGCATTACTCCTCTTTTGGTGACTTTTTCAGCAGACTGCTCCTCTTCTCAGTGATGTTTCAGTGGCACCGTGCCTCTATCTCGCTATTGTTCCAGCCGCTCCCCTGCCTATGCTGTCCAACATTCTAACCATTTTTTTCATCGACCATTCCAGTAGTACTGCACATCTTTTTGGTGATCATTCTAACAACACTAAGGCTTATTCCAGTAACCGTTCCAGTGGCACTACCCCTATCTAGTCAGTCTTCCCGCTATTCTCCAACCCACTTTTCCAGCATTCTTTTGGCAATTTTCGAGGATCAATTCGATCATTATTCTAGCAATTTCTTTGAAATTTTTTTTGAATCTATCAATTCATGTTACACCAATAATTTCATGTTACATCAATTCATGTTTTTCTTTCTGATGATTGCTCACCATTTTGGTGGCACAATTCTAGAGACTGTAAAATATTCTTGATTATAATCCGAGATTCTAAGAATTAGGAAACTTTGTTATTTTTTATAGCTCAAAACTCCTATATAAAGAGCCCCTTGGATATTGTTAACCACCAATACAATTAAGAGTCTTTTCTCAGTTGTATCTTTTCACAGTAACTACTAATTCAAAGATCCACCAATAACATCTTAATATATTCTGGAAAACGATTTCACCTAGATATTCTGCAGCATAACAGATTTTCCCATTGCAAACAGAAGAAATCAGCGATGTAGTACAACTGGCCCTGCTATTCTGGAACTTTTAAGAGCAACTAAAAAAAAAGAAGAGGCAGCCGGTGCACAAAGCATCCCGCATTCACGCAGGGTCCGGTGAAGGGCCGAACCTTTAGGGGTATGATGTAGACAACCTACCCTGATGCAAGCATTAGTGGCTGTTTCCACGGCTTGAACTCGTGACCTATAGGTCACACAGTTCAGTGACAAGGTCTGATATTCCAATAAAAGTGAACACATCCAAATAAACGTACAGTGCAAATGTATTCAACAAAAACATGTAAGGTTCTACATGGAAAGGGTTTTCAAAACTTAAAATAATGATCTGTCTAATAATCAGGAAGAAGGTTAAGATTAAAGGAACCTTCAGGCCCACAACAAAAAACTGTATGCTCTTAAAACCAGAAGGTAAACAAGATTCGAACAGGAGCAAGGACGGTCTGATAAAGGTAAAAGCTTACTCATACAAGGTTTTTATACCAAACCAATGAATGCATGACATGCATTTGAACATACACTACTATCACTTAACCATGGTTAACTAATGCATATTTTCACTTCATTAAATCACATAACCATGATAAGTCGAATTCGTTTGGTGTAAAAACCCCGTGATGGTAAGTGTTTACCGTCTAATAAGCATGTGCATGCTGAAAGCCACCTACTGAGTACTGATGCGTTTACAGAATAAGACTCACTGTTCAATCTGTGCATTGCACCACGCAAGACACTCAAATGCAAAAACGAGTAACCGGGCCATTTGACATCAGTAAGATTTGGCTGAAACATTCTCAAGTCAAGAGGAAGAAGAAAAAAACCAAAGAAATATGAGTTAAATAGATTCCAGCCAAGCAATTCCTAAAAGAAGTAGATGAATTGTTAGAAAGTAGAAAGTAGATACATCACAAATGATAGAAGGAAAAATACTTTTTTTCAGAGAGATAAAGGCTTTATTTTTCACCTCCATCAAATGGTAAGGAAACCACTTATAGCTTCATGGAACTCATGGTCCAAAATAATGTGCTATTTAATATTGGAAAACTATCCACTTGGCCATAGCATTTGATCTTCAATCCAAGAATCTCAAAAACTCATAATGTGCATACAGTCCAAGCATAGCTCTCTAAGTGCATACACACTCTGTGGTTTGTGTTAAAGGCCTAGTGAATAATATCTCATCTGATTAAACATTTGAAATTCTAGTCATGGGTTTTAAGTTTGTACCACGAGAGTTGATTCAGATACGTATTTAAGCGACAAACTAATTCATACTACTGCATTCTCTTTGTGAAGTGTGGGCATGTTTGTTGGGGATGGTGGTCCTAAAATACCCTCTAAAGTCTGAACTTCTTACTAACGCTAAATAAATAAAGCAACTAATAAAAGAAAACTTCCAACATATACAAGCCGTAAATCAATCACATTCCCACTGTGACCTTTTCTTGTTCTCCCTTGATCCATCATATTTCATATAATGTAGAAACACAAATAAATATTTATACAATATTAGCAGCATTTTCTTATGAAGATCACAACACCGAACAAGAGAAATTCAAAGATTTTTGCTTTAAAGAGTTAACTAATATCAAGAAGAATGATCAGTAAACCAAACTTATTCCAGCTATCACCAACACCATTAATAATCTTCCCGAGATTCCTAGTTCCACATAACGGAACAATACATTGCAACAACTATAGTCCACGGGCTCAAAAAATGAGCAATTTTACAATGATTCCCAGACAATAAAAGCACCATGATACACTCACATCCGCAGGCTAATTCCGGGTTTGAACTTTATGGGTTCTAAATTCTAGGATAGCGACATCAAGTGCTGGGTTTTGAATTAAATATTTGTACATATTTAGTGGATTTCTTAACAAATGTATAGGATTTTGGGCCAAAGCTACTGTGTTATGCCGAACCCGTATTGTAAAGCCTACATCCACCACTGCTCATTAGTCATAGAAACAGAGAAATTGTACAAGTTTAACTTTACAAAGTTAACCAAAATAAACGAAGCCAGAACTAATAATCCTTCTCAAAGATTTTCTAATAAAAACAAAAAATAAACAGAAAAACAAAAGTAACAACAGAAATTCCAACTCACAAACTGACTGGGTGAAAAAGATAGAGCATTCTCAAAGATACCCAAATAATGAAAGTACCAAAACACTAGCAATTGAGTACCTGAAATAGGGAATATGACACAATTTCTTCTCCATCACTCTTTTCTTCATCTTCTGTGCCTCTTTTTACAAATATAACCCAAAATTTGCATTGTTCAAGTTAGAAGCAATTTTTTGGTTGCTGTAACTTTTGTTATCGGCATGACCATCATCATCTTTTTGTAATTTTTGCCACTCTAACGGAATGCAGAATTTGTTTGGTTCCTCCACAAGGTGAATACAAAAAAATAGTAGTATATTATTCAGTACATGAATTACAGTAAACAACATTCATTCCTTCAATTAAATGCACTTGCTACTATTTTGCGTTTGGCATACAGTTTGAGAATGGAGTTGTGACGATTATAAGGTAATCGCGTCGTCAACATTAAAATATATTAATTAAATTAATTCTGATCCGGCTTGTTTGAACATATTACATATTATTGGTTCAATAAATTTCAATTGTCATCTTATTTAGTAATATGATATACAGCGTAATAAACTCTCTATTAAATTAAAGCGACTTATATAACCATTGAATAATTTTTTTGTTCTATATTTTTCTTTATTCTATTATTCAATGTTTAGTATTTTTACATTATCAATAGAAATTTTTATTAGCATATTACTTTATTTAATATTTTTATCTGCTTGTTTTCTTTTAGTAATATAAGAGAAGATATATATTTTATTAATCTTGAAATATTTTTTATTTTAAATTTTATTTTGTTGTTGTCAATAATATTATCTGAATTTTAATGAATAAAACTTCTATTAAATTATAGGGACTTATATAGTTATTGAATAACTTTTTTGTTATGTATTTTTCTTTATTATATTATCCAATATTTAATATAATTGTATTGTTAATAGAAATTTTTATTAGCATATTACTTTGTTTGATATTTTTGTCTACTATTTTTTTGTAGTATAATAGAAGATATATATTTATTACTCTTGAAATATTTTTTATTTTAAATTTTATCCTAATATTCTCAATAATATTATCTGAATTTTAATGAATAAAATCTCTATTAGTAAATATACTTGTATAGTCATTGAATAACCTTTTTGTTCTATATTTCGATTTATTATGCTTATCCAATATTTAGTATTTTTACATTGTTAATAGATTTTTTATTATATTACTTTGTTTAATATACCCCTTTATTGCTTTCTTTTTTTAATGTAATGAAAGATATATATTTTATTACTCTTCAAATATTTTTTTTATTTTAAATTTGATTCTTTGTTCTCAATAATATTATCTGAATTTTAAATGAATAAAATCTCTATTAAACTAAAGAGAGTTGTATAGCCATTGAATTACTTTTTTGTTTTGTATTTTTCTTTATTATATTATCTAATATTTAGTATTATTGAATTATTAATAGAAACTTTTATTAACATATTACTTTATTTAATATTTTGTCTACTACTTTCTTTTTACAATATAATAGAATTATATAATTTATTACTCTTGAGATATTTTTTTATTTTAAATTTTATCCTATTTTTTTCATAATATTATTTAAATTTTAATGAATAAAATCTCTATCAAATTAAAGATACTTTTATAAGCATCAAATAACTTTATTGTTTTGTAGTTCTTTATTATATTTTCCAATATTTAGTATTATTGCATTGTTAATAGAAACTTTTATTAGCATATTACTTTATTTAAATTTTTTATACTACTTTTTTTTTATAATATAATAGAAGATATATTTTTTTTATTTTTATTTTATTCTATTATTTGCAATAATATTTTCTGAGTAAATAAACATTTATTTTTAAAAAGAAAAACAAAAATTATTTAAAAAAACAGAAAAAATTGAATTCACAGTTTTTAATTTTTTGTAATTTTAGTTTTTCATTTTAAAATATTTTAAAAACTCCAACTTGAAACTACTTCATATTTGAATGGGCAATTTTGTTTTTATTATTTTTTATTAAGAAATATTTTATTTAATTATTGTATAAATATTTAAATTCAAAAACAATAACCAATACCTAATTATTAACTACTTATGCCATGTGGCTTTTTTCTAGGCTGCCATGTGGCTTAAGGAGGGGACTTTTTTTCTCTCCTTTTAATAATACATAGAAGATTATTGTATAGATATTTAAATTCAAAAATAATATCCAATAACTAATCATTAACTAAATACTAATTATTAACTACTTATGCCATGTGTCCTTTTTCTATACTGCCATGTGGCTTAAGGAGAGGGCTCTTTCCTCTCTTTTTAATAATATATAGCTTACATATAAAATTTCTATAACAAATTTAATTTCCCATATTTATATAGTTAATGTACATAACTTAAATGTCAGTAATTCTTTTTTATATGGTCTTATGGACATGAAATGCCGATTAAAACATGTTTTATTTTTTAATTGAAAAAAGATTTTACCACTAAAAAAGAGTTATTTACTAACTGAATATTTTCAACCGATTTAATGCCGCCACAATTTCCGGCTGATTAGGTCGGAAACTTCATTAAAAATACATATTTTTTTAAAAAAATTTGGCTCCAAATTGCGACTCTTTCAGTCGCTCAATTACGCGAAATTACCGCAAAAATACTTTTTGGGGTTTCCGACTGAATCAGTCGTGAAAAATAAAAATAAAAAATATTTCGGCCGATTTGGTCGAAATTTGCAATTAAAACGAGGTCTGACTGATCAACGGATTTGCGACCGAATCAATCACAATTTGAAAATTTCAAATTTCAAATTATGACCAATTCGATCGCAAATCTATTTTTAATACAAACCCCCACCCATTTTTTCTTCTTTTTTTCTCTAGTTCTTTTTTCCTCTCCTCCCCTCTCCTCTTCTGCCCCACCCGCTCTATTTCTTGATTTTCTTCTCTAATNCCAACTAATATTTTTTTTCAATTTGTTTAACTCGTTTTTGGGGCAGGATCCGGCGACTCTTCTCCCCTCCGATGGTGGTCCGACAGCAAATCTCGTAGTCCTTTTCCATGGAATTTTTTTGTTTGCATTAATTTAGCAGTATAGTATATATAAATTAGCTATATAATTTGCAATATAGTATGGATAAATTAGCAATAATTTTTGCAATATAGTATGTATATAATGACTTGTTAAAAATTTGCTCGTTTAGATTAATTAGCTATTTTTTTCTTTTTAGTTAGATGTTCTTGTGAAAATGGCTAGTATACTTGTATGTATCCAATAGTAAATCAAGAAAAAAAAATTTGGGTATTTTCTACAAGTATGGAATTCTTGTTTATATAAAAAAACAACTTACGTGCTAATACTTCTTTATTAGAGTTGAACAATATTTTAAAGAGTTAGAATTTTTATACATTCAAGTTAGGTTAGTTAAGAATAACTTAAGTGCTAATATTTCTTTGTTTCGGCTTTTCGTTTGGAAATTCTCCATGCCCTATCTATGTATTAATTATATTATTTATTAATGGAACAAAATAAAGAAAATGCAGTCAATTAAGTATTAGAGCGCTATCATATGCTAATTTGAAATAAATACGGTTAATTTATATGTGTTTAGGACTTTTTTGTCTTACAATAGTTTAATGTACCTATTAATATTGGAACCATCCAAGTATTATAATAAAATATATAATTAAACTATTCAGATAACCTTTGGAAGAATATAGCTTAGTAACTAGTATAAATAAAATAAATATATCAACTTCTAGTTTTTTTTTGGTTTGTGTAGATGCCATTTACGAATCGTAGATGGATGTATAATAGGAATCATCCCAATCGTGTGGGGTTAACGGATGAATTTAAAGAAGGGGTGGCTGGATTTATTGCTAAGGTAAGGACACGTGGTGATTTTCGTATTGAAGGAACGATTAGGTGTCCTTGTGTGAAATGCAAGTATATTAAGTTATTGGGAGAAGATGTTATTTCATCTTTTTAAAAAGAGATTTATGAAAAATTATTATGTGTGGACTGCTCATGGGGAGAATCTTGATAGCATAAATGATGTTGATTTTCATAATTCTTTTGGTGGTGAAGAGGGTAGTTCCGTAATGGAGAATAATGGTGAAAATTCTAGATTCAATGATATGATGAGGGATGCCTTTGAGATGTTCCCGGAGGCTCAATCTGAACCAAATGATGAGGCTAAGAAATTCTTCAAAGAGTTAGAGGAAGCTAGTTGTCCGTCATATGAAGGTTCAGTGCATTCCAAGTTGTCTATTGTTGTTCGATCATTTCAGATTAAGTAGGATAGTTCTATTTCTCAATCGGGCATGAATTCTATCATTGAGCTTATAAATGAACTTAATCTGAGTAACATTGACCGACCTACACGGCAAACAAATTGGTTTCCAATTGGGTATTTCATCAGAGAGTAGAGCCGTCAAATGGGTTTGGCCTGTGAGGCCAGCCCAACCCAGCCCGCTTCTTGGGTAGGGTTGGGCTAGAATATTTTGAGCCCATTTAAAACTGAGGTTTATAAGCCCGACCCAAGTCAGCTCACTGGCCCTTGAGGCTTGACCGAGGTTGAGCTTGGGCCGGCTCGTGGGCCAAAAATTAATTAATTATCAAATATTTAATTTTAAAAAAATAAAAACTAAAAAAAAAACTATTAACTATAATCCTCTTTCCCCAACCCTAGATTGCTCATTTTACCTTCCATATCAACTAGAATTTATATTTTGACATGCATGTAATATGACAAAATTATTTTTTATTTTTCTTAATTAATAATGAACACGAAAAGTTTTAAGTGGCCAATAATAATCTTTTTCCAAAAGAAAAATATTACTTTAAGTAGCCAATGATTAGTTTGAATTATTTTAATATATTATTAATATTTAAACTACTCTTCAATATCAAAAAAGATCAATTTTAAATACACAAAAAAAAATTGACCACTAGCAAATTTCAGGAAGTTTAAAAATTTCATGGGCTATAATGATGAAATCAGCAAATGATGTTAATCTTGAATTAAAAAAACCTCAGCATATAAACTTATTGAAGCAATCCCTAGATCTGAGGAATATGAAAGAAAAGTATTAAGAAAATATTCATGTAACTTTAAAAAAAGAATAGTTAGAGATATATAGAATTTGCATTTCAATTATGAAATTCCTCTCAAATATCAAGCTTTTTGTACGCTATATGCAAACAGAAGTTGTTTACATAATTAATCAACTATGTCACGAAAAAAATATTTAAGGATTTAAAGAATTTTTTTTTTATTAAAAAAATTGAAGGGCCTGCCCGCCCTAGCCCGCGACCCTCTTAAGGCTGGGTTGGGCTGGCCATTTTAAGGCCCATTCATATGGCGGGCCGACTAACCCATCAAATTTAAAAGCCCACGAGGCTTGGGCTAGGCTGGGCTGGCCCATTTTGATAGC